ACAGAAAGGACCCTGGGCGCCCGGCCAGGCATCGAACCCAGGCCATTCTTGCTGTGAGGTGACAGCGCTACCCACTGCGCCACCGTGCCGCCCATATTCTTAATTTTAAAATGTTTCAAATGCATTGTGTGTTTCATATTTCCACTATTTTCCCCATATTCCACGGAGAAGCAGTAAGGTGGAGCTGAAGCTGAAATATGCTTATTAAAACAGTTAAAGGAGAGGAAATTTAGTGATTTGGAATGACCTTGTCAGAGTCCAGACCTTAAGCCAATAGAAATATTGTAGCAGGACCTGAGGCGTCAGTTTGAGTGAAAAACCCACCAATATCACTGAGCTAAAGGAAATACCTGGTTGTCGTTGCTGTTTGGTGGGTCACACTGGTTAGTGAAAGCAAAGCTTCATGTACTCTGTTCAGTCAATGAAAGAGGCTGAATAATGTTGTGTTCTTTGGTGTTTCTTAATCATTTTTATGACAACCTGCTGACTTTTTAAGTTAAATTTAGGCAAAACATTTTACATGGTTCACAAGCACCTCTGTAAATGATTTACAGCTTCTGTTATTTTTATTATATTCCCCTTAAAATAAAAACCCTGTTACTTACTGTGTTTTGTCTTGCTCTTGTATTGTTGTCATCCTTGAGCTACATCTCAGTCTTGGTCTTGAACTGAGCTACATCCGATGCTTGATGCTCTAAAGGAGAGTCAAGAATGTGCAGTGCAGCCCTGAAAGAGTCTTAAATATTTTACAATGGTACAAAATCAGCAACAGAGCTCAGCTTATGAATGGTGCAATACACAGGTTCAAACTTACCAGTGCAGGAACATCTTCACTGCTTCTTCCTATCCGGTGCTGAGCTGGACCTGTCGACAAGCCTTATAATCAGAAAACAAATTCACATTAGTAATACAACACTCTCAGAAATAAAGGTACTAAACTGTCTCTGGGTCAGTTCCCCTCTCATCACTGGGGTGGTTTCCTCAAGGGTACATCTCAGTACCTTTAGTCAGGGAACATAACTGAACCATAATCCACTGAAATGATATGTTCTAAGCTGTACTGACTCCACACACCCCGTCTCGCCTCCAGGCTTTTATTTTACTGTTCTGTTTTAAAACATTCGGTTATGAAAAGGTACAAATACAAACTTTTCACCTAGAAAAACTTATTTAAGGTTCACAATCAGACCTTAAAACCACTGTAGAACCTTTGAGGGAACATTTACACTGTTTGTACCTTGATGAACAGAAATGTACCTGAACAGAACCTTTATTTCTAACTGTGAATATGTTTAAAATCCACTCTCGACTGGGGTTCTATGCTTCTCTGTTTGATGAAAGTTTATTAGTAACGCAATAAAACACTGCAAAATCATGCAAAACAAGTTTAAATGTCCATTTCTTTACAGAAGACTTTATTCATTATTTAGACATAACTTACTCAGATATTTTTACAAACATATTCTATTCACACCAACAGCATTCTCAAAAACACATCATCCTAACCATTAGCTACAGATAGGAAAGATGCCAGAACAAAGTCTGCAAGGCATTTTCAGTTTAAACCGGTGATTATCAGTGAGTTAAAAGTGAGTTAAAATTATTAGAGATAAATGGTAGCATAGCTAGTTGGCTAAAGTTAGCTAGCTGGTAACTTCTCAGTTCAAACTCAATTCCAAAAAATATATTTTGACCTGTATTTGAATGAAAACAGTGTGAGATATTTAAGGTTTACCATTCAAATTCATTGTTTTTCAGTAAATATACATTCGTTCTGAAATTGATGCCTGAAACACCCCAGATAGCAGCATATATCAGTCCACTAGCTTAATAAGGTCAGCACCCCACTGACTGTTTGCCACTGCTGGTCACCCTCAGACCACCCAGATTACTGTCCTGCACACAAACTCTAACTAGATTTTAAATGCACAGACTTTTATTTTAGAAAATAAACTAAGACAAATATTACAAACCTCTGAGAGAAAGATGACCAGGCCTGATATGAAATGATTTTATAGAAAATGTAGATGCTGAGCTGGGACGTTCCAAAAATGTTAGGACAGCAGCGTTTAATTCCCGGGACATTGTGAAATGTTCAAACAACTTACTGAACTGGTGATGCAATCATGCCTGCCCACGGTCCAGAACTGCCTTCCACTGAAAGCTCTGTACTGTTCTGAACGTAATGAAGGCCAAACAGAATTAATCACTGCTTATGTTTTTATTAGCCATACTGTCCAAACTTTTTTGGAATTTGGTTTCTATGTCCCACAGTTTTGAACACCTCTGATGGGGGAGACACTAAAGCATGAATAAATAACAAAAATAACCTGTTAAAGGCTTGTTAACCCTGTCAGTACTGTAAAGTAGACAATATGGACGCGTTTCTGAGCCTTTCTGCTCTGGCAGGTCGCCCTACAGCTGACCGGCCGGTCTGCATGTCTGACAGGGGTAACAGTGTTTTATGACTGAGAGCAGAAACTATTATCACTGGAAAAAAGGGGTTAAACACGTGTTGAATATCGACCGCTGAAATGACCACAATGCAAATGTCCTCTTCTAAACGTGTTTCAGCGAAGCTTAAGCTCCCCTCCTGACCGCAAAGCGCTTCTGATACCGCGAATCTGCGCACATCAGACCACCTGAGCTATGGAGAAGGTCTGATTTACACCCGCAGCTTCACTCCAGCGGGTTCAGCCCAGTGGAGCGCAAGCGCAGTAGGACAGCGCGACTGTGCCATGTAAACAGTCCTTATAGGAAAGTTGATCGTTACGAGCGTCTCACTCATATTTCATAACGGTCTCTTCATTTATAACGCTCTCCTCATTTATAACGGTCTCCTCATTTATAACGGTCTCTGATCTAAACAGGGACTGTTTGAGCTGATTGTATGTGTCGTCATGAACATCACCATTCAGGAAAGGACAGGAATCAACCACTGCTAACCAGTTAAACCATAAACCAAAACACTTTACAAAACCATCAGCAACAAAAATAAACACTTAATGGTTACGATGGATTTTTTATCAGGGATACGTTCAGAAACTAAATATACTCAGTTTCAGCTGCTTAAGGCGATGTTTTGCTCCTGCTCATGTACTGTCAGTGTATAAAACCCCTTATTAAGGGTAAGTTAACTGAGCCATATGTCCACATAACCCAGAGTTTATCCGCCACATCAGCTGTAGTTCGAGTGGTATTTACCCTGTGAATCTCTGTATGTGTTCAAACCGAAGTCTGTTTTAGTCTGAAGTTTAAATGTAACGTTAGCCCAACACAAATTCCTCACACAGTGTGTTGGGAACCCACATAAAATGGCCGAAATACTGATCAGCCCAAAAACTCACTGAGAAAAACCAGAACAAGCGTCGGCGCATGCGCTGAATGGCACTGGCTGGAAGCTGCTGGAGTGAAACTGCGGCTCTGCAGACAGATATTACGGGGGGAGGTGGAGAGGTGGGCGGCTATGAGTCTCTCCTCCTCCTCGAGCAGCTTCTTGTTAAAGTCTCCCTCTGTACTCATATATAAGATAAATCAGTAACCAGGCTTTCTGTCCAACTAGAGAAAGCTAACGCTCACAGCACTGACAGCTACGGGCAGAAGCTAACAGTTGCTAACCTGGAGAGAGTGCTTCTCTCTCTCTCTCTCTCTCTCTCTCTCTCTCTCTCTCTCTCTCTCTCTCTCTCTCTCCGCCCCCGAGCCCAGCTGTGTTCATGTACAGTTAGTGATCAAATCCAAAGCACTTTATCCAACACTGTTAGTGTTTTGAACTCCGACGGTACAGAATCATTCAGCGTATCCATCACTCACACTTCAGTATCAGCGCAGCTACCCGAGCTAGCTAAGTTAGCTACCCTAGCTAGCTAAGTTAGCTATCCTGGCTAGTGAAAGTTAGCTAATATTTGTACTACATTTCTCATGATTTGTAAATAAAAAGGTGTAGCTAATCAATACTATCATTTCTTTCTCCATATTTCTATGGTAGCACAGTGAATATTTTCATAGTTCAAAGCTGACTTTTACCTCAGCAGCTCCACTTTCCCGCTTCTGTCTTCTGAAATGGCGTCTAACGGCACTTAAAGTATTCATGCGCCACGGCAGGAATATTTGTTTAAACGTTCCCAGTAAACAAAGAACGTCTGTGGACGTCCAAAATGTGTTTAAAAATAGTCGGTCAGTCGGGGACATGTTATGAACGTCAATAGACGTCCAAAATCCGTTTCAAAAAGTCAGTCCATTGCTGACCTGTTAATAACGTCCATAGACGTCCAAAATCAGTTTCAAAAAGTCAGTCCATTGATGACCTGTTAATAACGTCCATAGACGTCCAAAATCAGTTTCAAAAAGTCAGTCCATTGATGACCTGTTAATAACGTCAGTAGACGTCCAAAATCCGTTTCAAAAAGTCAATCCATTGGTGATTTGTTAATAACGTCAATGGACGTTTCACTATAACCCAAAAATAATGATAACGATCATGATAATAACAATCATCATGTCATTATTTAACATGGTGCCATCAGCTTTTCTATATTTCCTGGACTTTTTTCAAATTTTAATGCAAGTGCTAAATGGTGTTTGTAATTGCATATCTCATAGCAGTGTGCTTTATTTAAGACACAATTCAAATTTGAATGCAAACATATTTGCGTTTTAATTTATTGTATTGTATAAAAGCTGGAAACTTTTAATATAGAAAAGCAGCGTTTTTGACCATTCATTTTCATTATCTTAATACGGTCTGACTCTGACATAAAAAACGCCCATTTTATTGTATTTCGTCATCATGGCCCTTCAGCTCTGCCAAAATGAATATTTGCAATCCTGTTTGCAGCTGCATTTCCACTGTCAGCAAGGCAGTCCTGTCATTTAAGCGCTGTGGGTTTGTTGGATGTATCAAGCGGGTTTGAGAAGCCGCGATATCCATCTGAACGGACACCGATCACTGCCCCTATGGAAGGTCCTCGTCTGAGAAAGTCTTCAGCGAGCCGTCCACAGCGCACAGCGCTACTGTCCACATTGGTCCAGGTGAGTAAACGTTAGCTGGCCGTTTTAGGTGGACCTTTTGCCATATACGAGTCACTAAGCTTACAAAGATTTTTTTAAATATTATCTAGTATTATCGTTTGTTTATTAATAGAGGGTACATGTTAGCCAGCTAGCTAGCTAGTTAGTATTTGATACAGCTGCTGAAGCTGTCTTGCTAAGGTTAGCTAGTGCTGAACAGTCGTGCTAACTACGGGAAACATAGCGGTCGGTTGGGCACGTCATTAACGCAGATTTAAAGATTTGTCTGTATTGGCTGAATATAGCGAATTAAAACCTTATTAACGAATGTAGCGGTCATTTTATTTCCCTTAATTCAGTGTGATTGATGGTGAAGGTCCTGATAAAAGCTAAGATCGCTAGCTAACGCTACTGATTCATCACGACAACACACGTTTTCTGACATTAGCTGTTTCTGTTGTTGCCCTGTATAAGTATTTGCTAATAACTTGTTAGAAACACCACATAATCATTCTAGTAAAACGCTAACGTGAATAGCAGCTGTATATTGTGAATGTAGCGCTCCATATAGCGTCTGCGTCGGCGTTCATCTTGGATTTTTGCGCGGGCTCATTTGTAAAAGTTAGCCGTTAGCTATATTGAGCTACATTAGCTATATTTATCTAAGCTTGTAGTCACATACATGAATAGCTCGAGGCTCATTTTAAAACTGCCAGGAGCATATTTTTACTTTGAAATGAACTACCACAATTAATGATTATTTTACCAAATTTGAAAGTAGTTAGCTTATGCAGCTAGGTAATTTGAGTAGCTAACGCTAGCTAGCTAGCTAGTTTATTTTTTTTATACAGCTGCAGAAGCTACAGCTCTGTTTCTAGATGTTAGTGGAGAGTGGAAATGTGGCAGTCATTCTGATGCTTCGTTCATTAGCTTTGGCTACACACGTTGAAATCATTAGTGAGGTTTTATTAGACAATGAAATGTCCTATCAGCGATAAGTTACTGAATTAACTGTTGCTGACTGTCGTCTTTTGCAAACAAATATTTGTTTCAGAAGCTGACTGGATTTGTCTGTGTGCCACAACAACATACTGGCAGTGGTCAAATAATGTGCACAAGTTAAAAAAGTAAGTATTATCGCAAACAGAATAGAACGTAATGTGTTAACAATTTATGTACCGGTTTCCTGGTTATCAGTTGCCACACTCATTTTATGACTAAGAACCTGTTTAAAGGAATGGTTTAGCAAAATATAAAATTTAAACAGTTTTCTGCTTACCCCCAATGTAGTCTTTTGGCCAAGACATAATTGGTGTCCAAAGTTTGTGTCTTTAGTTTAGCAATGGAGCTGTGAAGCTAACATTTCTAACAAACACTAGAAGTCAATATTCACCTAAATCATTTCATGTCTTCATTAAGGTGGCGCAGACTTCTCAGTGTGGTGTGCAACACAATATGACATACTGTGGGCTATAAAAGTGAACAAAACGTCATCACAGAGTAAGTGCCATGGGTGACCTCTCTGTCTCAGGAGTAAGATTGCTGAGCTAGAATAGTTTTTTATGGAAATGACAGTCATAATTACTGATCCAACATCAGTCCTGTGCAGCCTTTGTGTTGCCTAAAATGGCCGTAGTGGTGAGGTTTTGTTCATTTCTATAGTTCAAAGTAAGTCTTTCTGTGTCCTACACTACACTGACAAGTCTGCTGACTCTAATGGAGACCTAGATGAGGGTTGAGAGAAGTTTTAGGGATGTATTTATGGAAAAACATCTGGGTTAATATTGTCTTCTAGTGTTTGAGCAATGTTACACTTAACACCAATACTAAACTAAAGAAGCAGAATCATTAATTGTAGTCATTTCAGTCAAATTTGATATTGGAATTTGTAAGGCATATAAAAAAGTGTTATATAGCTGCATTCTGTACTATTTACTATCCAGTTCGTTCTTTGGACTGTGCTTTGTTCTTTTAACAAATAAACACTGACCAAAATAAGAGAGAGGCTTTTCAGTTCCCAGCAGTCTAGTACAGAGTTTAGAAATCTCATGAGTCTTAGGAGAATATATAAAATTAGAGACAGTATATAAAATTAGAGACAAGCTCAAGCCCTTTGCATTTAAAAGAACATATCACAACATCACTACTTCGCAGTTGTTTAGAAGCCCACTGAAATAAACATTTAAAAATAACTAAAAAATAGATTTGTAATTATCAGTTGCCTCCTTATTGGCTACATTGCAGACAGGAAAATATTATGTATATTATATGGAAACATATTTCAGATTTGAAAGGTTTAAATATATGTGAATTAAAAGCTGTCAAAGGCCTTGTGGCATTGTGACTATTAATTGATAAGTAAGACTAAAGTAATAAGTATGATGTTAGAATGGCTTTCACCTTCCACAGATCTGTCTGTTTTTGCCAGGAGATTTTAGTGCTTTGTGTGTGCATTAATTGTAACAGTCTTGTTTGTGTTTTATGTTAGCTGCAGTTCTGAAGTGGAACAACAAAGCCACAGCTCATGAGATGGATTCTGCTGTGGTCGATCACCTCAAGCATGCCCCCTGCAGAGCTTTTAACTTTTTTTTTTCTTTTCTTGTTTGACTTCTCAGAAACTAAAATGCAAGATTTTGTCTTGTTAAATAATCACCTTGATTTCCTTTACATTAAAACATTGAAAATCATGTACAATACTGACACAGCTTATGGTTCAAACGTTTGAAAATTCTTTCTGAATTGATGCATAGGATCTTTGTCTTAGTCCTAACGAAGTTCATGGTCCAGTTTTATGTTCCACAAATGAAATTAATAATAACTACACGTTTTCAATAAAGTTTCCATTTAACAAAGTTTGTTTTATGTTTACATTGGAATCAAAATTGTTAGTTAACTACAGGAAGTTTTTTGCATGGTAAAAAGGTTCTTCACATTGACAGATAATGCATTGTATATGGTTCTATATAGAAAAATTAATTCTATATAGCACCAAAAAAGGTTCTTCTATTGTACAGTGTATTAAGCATGAAATGGTTCTATATAGGATTCATGCTAAAGTGTTATCTTTTTCGAGAGTGTACTAGTGGAAATTAATTTTGGATGACTTTTCAATGCCTTTTAATTTATAATTGATAATTTTTTCCAAGGCCTTAGAACACCTTAAAATGACGTTTTTACTGTGACTATTTTGACCGTTTTTTCAACGGCTAAGTTTAGACGTCTTTTCAACTTTCATTTTCAACCATAAGAAAACGTAAATTAAACAGCAGTTATGTACGTGATTTCAACGTTAAATCAACGGCCTTAAAATGACGTCTTTAATGTGACTATTTTGGCCGTTTTTTCAACGGCTAAGTTTAGACGTCTTTTCAACTTTCATTTTGAACCTTAATAAAGCGTAGTTTAAACGGCAGTCAGATACGTGATTTCAACGTTGTTTCAACGGCCAAATGTTTACTGGGTTGGAATCAGAAATAAAATTATGGTTACTTAAAATGTGGTGCCAACTAATAATCAATAGTATTTTTACAAAAATATTTCTCTTATTCAAAAAGACAGAGTTTTTATTATTGTTGGGGTTTTTTTTGGTCTATATTTTTGGGCGAAGGCAGCGCACCACCCAGGGCGTGAGCTGGCTGCTGAATAACGGTCATCCTGCTGTAGTTTAGCCACATTGTCTTTTCACACTAGCTGCCTCGTGTAATTCCAGGCTGGTTTAGCTGCCCTCCTGAAAAACAACAACATAGAAACCATTAAGAGTTTCTGTTGGTTCCTGATGGTTTTGTAATGAGTTTTGACTTTTTTAATGGGTTGATATCACAGTGTAAAGGATCCTAATGGTTTAACAGGTGACCAGTGGCTGATTCTTGTATTTGATAGTTTCTTGATGGAATCTAAAGGTGTTCTACAGGAAACTAGTAGGACTGGAAACTGTTAGGTCAATTCCCATTAGAAAGGAAAACCATTAGGTTTTAATCCTAATGGTTTCTAAAGGTCCTTTTTCTGCAGGGCAGTCCCTCAGCACGGTTAGCTTAGCTTGGTTTATTTATTATTAATATAACAGATTTATTCACTTCTAAATAAAATAACACAGTAACTTATTTAGCTAAACTGTAACATTAAAGATAATAATAATAATATAAATGTTACAATACTAACAATAAATATAATTATTATGTGTCTAGTATTGAATAATACTGTCAGTTACATTGACAGGGCAGCATCTCAACCTCTATTAAACCACCACCGTCAGAACTGGCCCAGCACTCAAACACTAACATAACCACTCAAATTTAAAGCTTCCAGCTGCCACATTTGGCCCACTTGTGAATCAAGTTTGTGGCCCAGAGTCTGAAAGCCATGACCAGCCTTGAACATGGGTGTCCACTGCTGGGCCACTTTCGGCCCAATTTTTAAATGTTCTGTATCCCAAATCACCCCTCCCTCTGCACTGATGACTGAGTGCACTTGAACCAAACCCCTCCTGTACATCTTCTGCATTAATAAATGAGCACACTTGTAATTCTGACCTATGTTCTCATCCCAAACCACACCCACCCATATTTCCCCCTTTGCCCTAATGAATAAGCACACTTGCAGTGCTGATCTAATGCCGCATCCCAATCCACAGCACCCCATACATCACCCTATGCACTAACGAATGAGCACATTTGTAATGCCCATCGAATGCCTCCTGATTGACACCTCCTGATTGAGTGCACTGGTAATGATGATCTAATGCTCTGTTTATGGTTCTACATAGAACCATTTTCTTTACCAAAGAACCTTTGAATAAACATCTTTTTAAGTGTGTAGACTGAGAGACAGTGGACGCTGCATCTGCTACTCCTGCCTGTTATCATATTTTTCCAAGAAGGACCTTTTTCCTATCGGCTGTTCCTCCACCATCACCTCTATTTCCTGTCTGCTAACATTTCTGAATGCTTAGTTTGATCCCAGCAAACACACAACGTTGTTACAAACTCATTATTCAGTACTGTGGCCAGATGCTGTTATGACTACCTTTTTGCAGCTTAGTCAGATTCCACGGAGGTCCAGTCACAGTGTGAGGCCTGTTTGGACAGGACTAAATCTCCACGGGGTCCTGGGGTCGATTTCCTCTCTCACAGGTGACTTTATTTGCCCTGTCTCTGTTTTCCTCCCCCTCCTTTGAGAATTAAAGGCCGAATTAGCTACTGATTTTCATTCTCAGCGCTGCTCTGATCATTTTAGCCCCGTCTGTGTTTTCCAGGCAGACGCTGGAGAAACAGGTTTAGTCTCCGAGAGCACGAATCCACCAGAGATCCTCCTCTACACTCACACACACAGCAGATCACTGAGTCAGTGCTGAGTCAGGGTTGCATGTTGTTGTCTGATGACAGTGATGGAAAAATAACCTTCAGCGTTAAACAGATCTGTGTGGTTAATATTAGTGAACCGTGAAATTCAGACACTGAATTAATGCGGATATGAGGAGGATTTATGGCTGAGAGGCTTTCTGTGGGAAAGATGGAGGCCTAGAAAAGTGCATCTGTAAAGGATACGCAGCGAAAACTTTATGCAGCCTTTTGTTTAAAACTTGATTAATATCCATGGATTTGTTTACATTCATAAATGTAAATGGTTAAAGACTGAACGTCATTCAATTCAAAATAGAAACTGATCATGATATCCATGTGTTGAGAGGGCTGAACAACACAAAATAACATTTACATAAATTAATTAATCAATTAAATATGAAAACAGTACATGAATAAATTATATAAAATAAAAAAAAAACTTCATTTTAATTTTTTTGTAAAAAATACATTTTTAAATTTTTATTTAAAATGAATTAATTAAATATAAAACACACACACACACAGACACACACAGAGACACACACACACACAGACACACACACACACAGACACACACACACACACAGACACACACAGAGACACACACACACACACAGACACACACACATACACAGACACACACACACACACACCCCTTCTAAACCGTTTCTCCCTCAGGGTTGCGGGGGGAGCTGGAGCCTATCCCAGCAGTCATTGGGTGGAAGGCAGAACACAGGTAAATAAAAAGAGTAAATTAGTATAATATACTGTTTTAATCTTTAATATTTATAGCTCTTCTTCGTTTATATTTGTGTGATGTGTGTGTTTTGGGGGGCACATCATGAGAGCTGCAGTCAGCAGTCTTATAACAGACACTGGGACAGTGGCCACTTTCATCATCCAGGCTTAAAGAAAACGTGTTTATTTGAACTAAGACACATAAACTAAGGATAACTGCCCAACTTTACACTGTGTTCACTGAACAGCTGAGATAGAACAGCACAACAGACTAGGAGGGAAAAACTCACTGGCAAAGTTTCAGACCAATTAAAACATGACATACAAGGAGCTGGAACAGTCTGACTCCGCCCCCCAGAGGAGCTGGAGCAGTCTGACTCCACCCCCTGGAGGATCTGGACAGAGAACTTGTAGAGAGGAGAATTACCATACTGTAATGTCTCAAACTCTAGAGGGCGCTCCTGAGCGAATCCAAAATGAATGGGTTCATATGGAGCGTTTGAGCAAAATCATAGTTTATAAACGCTGAAACATTTTTAATGTAAAAGAATTCATTCATTTCCTGAACAGCGCAAAACATTATAACAACACAGTTATGTTTCTAAGAGCTTCTGAACTATAGGACTAAAACAGCGCCTGATGTACATTTATGACTGTGAATGTGAACAGCCAATGAGCTGCTCCGCTCGCCAACCAATCAGCACTCAGTAGCAGTAATGCTAACCAATCAGGACTCAGTAGCAGTGACGCTAACCAATCAGCCCTCAGTAGCAGTAATGGTAAAAAATCAGCACTCAGTAGCAGTAATGCTAACCAATCAGTGCTCAGTAGCAGTAATGCTAACCAATCAGCGTTCAGTAGCAGTAATGCTAACAAATCAGCACTCAGTAGCAGTAATGCTAACCAATCAGCCATCAGTGGCGTTAATGCTAACCAATCAGCGCTCAGTAGCAATAATGCTAACTAGTCAGCGCTCAGTAGCAGTAATGCTAACCAATCAGCGCTCAGTAGCAGTAATGCTAACTAATCAGCGCTCAGTAGCAGTAACGCTAACTAATCAGCACTCAGTAGCAGTAATGCTAACCAATCAGCCATCAGTGGCGTTAATGCTAACCAATCAGCGCTCAGTAGCAATAATGCTAACTAGTCAGCGCTCAGTAGCAGTAATGCTAACCAATCAGCGCTCAGTAGCAGTAATGCTAACTAATCAGCACTCAGTAGCAGTAATGCTAACTAATCAGCACTCAGTAGCAGTAACGCTAACCAATCAGCCATCAGTGGCGTTAATGCTAACCAATCAGCGCTCAGTAGCAGTAATGCTAACTAGTCAGTGCTCAGTAGCAGTAATGCTAACCAATCAGCCATCAGTGGCGTTAATGCTAACCAATCAGCGCTCAGTAGCAGTAATGCTAACTAGTCAGCGCTCAGTAGCAGTAATGCTAACCAATCAGCGCTCAGTAGCAGTAACGCTAACTAATCAGCGCTCAGTAGCAGTAACGCTAACTAATCAGCACTCAGTAGCAGTAACGCTAACCAATCAGTGCTCAGTAGCAGTAACGCTAACCAATCAGTGGCAGTAATGCTAACCAATCAGCGCTCAGTAGCAGTAATGCTAACCAATCAGTGCTCAGTAGCAGTAACGCTAACCAATCAGCGCTCAGTAGCAGTAATGCTAACCAATCAGCCATCAGTAGCGTTAATGCTAACCAATCAGCACTCAGTAGCAGTAATGCTAACTAATCAGCGCTCAGTAGCAGTAATGCTAACCAATCAGC